TAACGACCAGAGACATAACAATATCTTTTTCAATGGTGTTATGCAAATTGCATTCACTTTTGCTAGGATATGTAATAAATCAGGTGCAAATACATTAATAACAATGAAAATTGAAAATAAAACTTTGCATAATCATCCATTTTTCCTCACATGTTTGTAATAAATTTAGATACAAATATATTTTAATGTTAATTTAAACTAAATAGTGCTGAGAGCCTTCTGTGGGAAAGTTCAACAGTTCCAAAGTTTAATGACCTATGATGATGTGTAATTAAGATAATAGCATGTTTGTCATATTTTAGAACTGCTCTCTCTATACATTAAATATATACACATTTTTTAAATGCGTCCATTTGCGAAACATTTTGAAAATTTTAAATGAACAACAAATGCCCATCAGTCTAAAACTGAAAGGATAAGAAACTTCTGGTATATTTCAAGTACAATAGTACAAGACTAAATTTCTTTTTTTTTTTACCAAATGGTCTCTGTCACCATGATTTTCTGATCCTAAATATTTTCATGTAAGTGTGAAACATTTTGAAAATGTTAAGCGAACAACAACTTTTTGCCTATATATATAGTAAAATAATAAGACATTTTGACAATAAAGTTATAAAAACTTCATATAATAATAATAATAAACTTTTTTATTTCATCCAGTGTTTTTGCTGTTCCGGCTTCATCAGGACTAGTAGTACAAGAACTCTTTAAACATTTTGACAATAAAGATAGAAAAAAATGACATTACTCTCTAGGTAATAATAAGACTGTTTCAGCCAACATTTTGCCCTTACAACTTAATCAAGGCTAGTAGTACAAGAACAGTTTAAACATACTGGACAGTAAAGTTAGAAAAAATTACCCTTACTCTCCTGATAATAATAAAAAACTTTTTATTTCAGCCAGTGCTTTGCCATTTTGGCTCGATCAGGGCTGTTAGTATATTTCTTTTAAAAGTGGAATGTTTTATGAATTAAGAATTTGTTTTAGTTGTTCATTTGTGTTTGATTGTTTTGTTTTTGCTATTTGTATTTAATTTATTACCTATATAACATTTGCTGAATGTAGGGTTTGTAGATACTTGTGGCTACCTTTTGGTTAACAATTCATAAAAAGTGCTAGCCTTCACTACTGCCAATGACTCTTTTAGACAAAACTGTCTTAACTGGAGATCTGTTTTTTTCCAAAGCTTGAACTTATATTCTTCTGTACAATTGTCTTCAGAAAATAGTACAAAAAATCAGAGGCCCTTATCAATTCCCCTCCAGGTAGTCTTGTAAAATTCAATAAGATCATCTCTTACCCTTACTTACTTAAAAGAAAACAGGTTAAAAGATCTTAACTCATCTTCATAAGATAACCCTCCTATCCCAAAAATCATCTTAGCAGCCACTCTCTAAAATGTCACTCTACCAACTGAAAACTGTCTTACCTCCTGATTAGCTTACACAAACACTTGATCAACAGCTACTTGGCATTCACACACTGAACACTTCACTTTGACATTTAGCTAACTATTTCATTCTACTAAGTTGTATTTATAACTGAAGTCTCACTTCTAGGTGTTTGTCAAGTTACTTGATTATTCTGAGGTCATCTAGAACATTCTAGGACTTATTTGATCTTAATGTGATGCATTCTTTAGTTAATATCTCTATTATGATATTGAAAATATATTTTAAACACAGGCCCCTTACTGAATTGTGAAGTTCCTTAAACAGTCCTAATGCAGAAATAAAACTACACTAAACTCTTCATTCATCAAGTCGTTTTAGTGGTTTTCTCTTCTGAGGCCTGTGGGTATACAGATGTGATGGTGTCTTTGTTGTTGTTACTGGCTCTCCTGTCACTGAGATAGTTTTTTCCTAGGTATGAGGTCAAATGAATTTACTGGTAGCTCTATCTTTGTTGATACTCTGGAACTAGTCTCAACATGAACACTTGGTTCCTGAGCAGTGTGACTTTGTGCTTACAAATTTTTCTCTGGAGTTACACAGTTGGCCATTATCTCACTGATGTACTTCCAAATATGATCACGGTGGATTTTATAATCCACATTATTTATCCTTTTCATAAGAGGTATGGCCTTCCAAACTTGTACCTAACTTTGGAATTCATCATTTCTTGTGATGAGAACTGTTTAGCCTTATCATGTCACCTTGATGAAATTTAGTCTTATTAGTATTAAAATCATAGGTACTTTTCATTTGATCACAAGCTGACTTAAGCCTTTCCAGGGTAAAATAATGTGTGACATCTTTATTCTTCACATTCGTTTGATCTCTTCCAACCACCAATTCCACAGGACATGCCAGAGTATTTGGTTCCATTACACTGCAGTCACTAGATGAATATTTATTGCTGATAACTCCTGGTATGAGTACTTCACTTCTTAGTGATCACTGAAAGTTCAATCTATGGTGTAGTAATAATTGTTATGGTGTGCATGCCTTTTACAAGTTGAAAAAGAATGATTACAATTTTACATGTCATAAGACTATAGTATTAGCCCTATTGCATTTTAAGTACCACATTCTTATCCTAGTCCCTTAGGGGTTTTCAAAATTATAAGAGTGTACAATAACAGTATTCCAGCCATGCTATATCTATTACCAATGTTTTGTGTTTCACTTGATCCAGAGATCTTTAGGGTGGTAGGGATACAACAAACCCAGGCAGTGGTCATAAATACAGACATATCATAAGGTATAGAGAAACTTCCTATAGTAATGGTAACTTCTAACTTCCCTTTTGTTAGAAGTTTATGCTGTTCACATCAATCCCTCCTCTTTCTTCATCTCTTAGAGACAATTTCACATCTTCCATTAACAAATTAGATTGAACAATTGTATGTGTAGAACCAGTGTTGATCAGTATACTGCAAGGTTTTCCACCAACAAACCCATGGACTCGTGAACGATTTTTCTCAAATAATGAACTTCTTTTCTCATTTGGGATAGGTGGAGTATTCCCAGTCGAACTTTGCCCCATAAAATTCAGCTAGTTCCTATCTTTTTTATGTCTGGTTAGCCATTTGTTGTTCATTTGATCTGATTTGGTTCAAAAGCACATTATCGTGATATTGTTTTATTGGTTTGATAACAGTTGTTGAGTTCATATAGTCTTGGCTGTAATAGCCCTATTCTCTACAATTATAACAGCCTCCTCTTTCTATTATTCCCTGGAAGACGTTCATATTCCATACAGGCCTTAATCCACAGCTCCTCTCAATATGCCATTTCAAGATACACTTGAAACAGCTATTTTCTTGTAGTTCATTTCTTCTGTTTTGTGTAACTAGCTGTTTGATAAATTCTTTCAGTCCTTCTACACTATTGTTAGGAGGAATTGATATTTCAGTACCTCAGGTTTTGCTGATTCAACTTCTAGATCGTGCTTTTAGTAGTTTATGTGCAAATATAAGGGTTTCTAAGTTCATCACCAACATCATAGTTCTTTTAAAGATGTACAGTGTACATCTACTTTACTTCACCCTAATTCTCATATCCTTATCAATTATGGCATCTATATATTGGTTACATGACAACAAATCTGTCATTCCATGAGGAGCAGCTTGGTAAAATGATTGGGCAAACC